CACTTATTATCAGGTTGTCCTAGTTCCCCAATATCTGATGTGGATCTTGTTAATCTGGATGACATCTGAGTCGACATGACTCTCCTAGTACTTGTCACTCTCATTTTTGAGCTGAAGTGTTAATAAGTCTTTGCCCAAGGAACTCTACTGGTAAAGTAGATACCAGCAAGAATTGAAACCTGGTCTTCTACATCAAAGACTAATGCTCTGACTACTACATTATCCAGCTGCACTATGTAACTGTTCTTTATAAACTCACATATAATGCCAAGAGTGCACAACTTTCTCATTTTATTCCCCCTCTGAGCTGTTTTTTCCTTAATTTAGATGTTCAAGTCAGGTTTTAATTCCTGGCAACTTGCCTGGAGTATTGTATTCCCTGCAGTTTTCCTGGCAAAATTTTTTTGGAAATGACTTATTCTTGCCTCCTTCCTAGCCCAAGAAAGAGAATAACTAGCACACCGTCTCCCAGCTGGCTTCATGCCTAAGGCAGAGCTAGAACTCACAGTGACCTGGTTTCTAGCCTGATGCCTTAGCCACTACACCCAATTTGCTTTCACGCAATACTTTAGTTACTTTGCTGCAAAAGTCAATAATTTAGTTTGTAATACATGTTGCTTTTTTAATTTCTCAAAGGACTCTGCATTTTTTCTTCAATTTCCATATTGTTTTCACTACCTAGTTTTGCTATTGTTGTCATACACATTGCTTCCACCTCAGACAGTGCCCCCTGATCAGTGACTGTCCTTGAAATACAGTCCTCATTTGTGAAGAGTGCATCAATATCTTTGGCAAACAGTACATATTGTTCAAGGATACTTGCATTTGAAGGGGGAGCCCCTTCTGTAACACTTTCTGACTTGTTGGATCTTCCCTGCAAGGGTTTGTGGAGTTTGTTTTTCCAAGAGATGTCTACTGATAAAAAAGAAATTATCAGTGTGTTTGGTCATATTCTGTTTCCTGTTGATAATCTAAAGTGTTCCCTGATAAGACAAGGACAAAAAAAACCCTATTTGATGGCACATTTTGGATTTTTGTTTTTTAAAAATAATAAAAAGGCTTATTACTATATTTTTTAGGATTTTGAAATATATAGGGATACCAAGAAATATTTGGATTCAAAGAGAATTCCTAAAATATCAACATTTAAAATCATGAATGAGTTTTAACATATATATATATAAAATTAAGAGCACCATTTAAAACATACCTAGTCAGAAATAAATTCCACCATATCTGGTTCTGGGAATTTATTCGATATCACTTTCTGTATTGCTACTTTGGTTCAATTTATATGAATAACTTCTTGAGAGCTTCTTTTTGTTGATATGTGAATTTATCTGTGTGCATTTAAAACCTTTTTTATTCTTTTCTAATGTGATGCCTTTTTCCCTGTAATCAACCATAATATTCTTCTATTTTACCTTATACTACTTTATCCTTTATCTTCATTTTATCTTACCTACTATATTTTATTCTATCTCTCCATAGCTGTTTTATCTCATTTCACTATATCCTATCTTATTTTATTGAATTTTCTGTGGCTGATGCTCTTTTTTGATATGGTCAATTGACTAGTCAATAAAATATATTCTATCATATTGTAATAAATAGATTTATAATTTCCTTTGAAGTTGACACATACCACTTTCCATCCCAAATTGGAGTAATAATTCTTTTCTAATGTTCTCTTGATAATTTATAAGGTAATAAGTGGTCTGGTTTATTAGCTTTCTCAAACTAGTTGTAATTAACTAAATCTATCTTCTTGTAAGTTTCATTTACTATACTTCTATTAGATCAAGTTCATTACAAATAATTTCAAAGTTTTATTTTAGATCCACCTATCCAACTGAATAAAGAAACTTTTGGAGTTTTGGCTGGAAGAAGCACTTTAATTCATACTGGGCCTTCAATTTAATATGATGGAAAAAAAATAACGGATCCCCAGTTTTTTTTAACTGGAATGTCCTCAGTGCAATATTATGATTATTGGGTTATAATCCATATAAATAAAAGTTTCAACTTTCAGAGATGAAAGTTTAGTGAATAATGAGGTAGACCTCCATCCACATGTTTGTTTTAATGTTTTGCGAACAGAACAATAATAGGTATGCTTTTTTCTCTAAAGAAAAAATGCATTTTACCAGGCTTGCTGATACCCATTTCCTCTAACATTTTCACTTCCTTCTTTGCCATGGGAATGACTTCTCCTTCCTCTACTGAACTAGTGTAGCAAAACTGCTAGTCTGTCTCTAATCTGTTGTGGGAAAACAATCTCCTGGCTCTTGCTCCAACTTCTTTTTAAGCCTCTATTATTATCCTTTTGAGCACCTTCCTTCTTATTCACTCTCAGAGAAGGTCAGGATCTTGAGCATACTTTGGTAAGGAAACAATGTCTTCCTTCAGTTCTATGTAATCATGCAGGTGCTCTCTTTAAAATACAGGTAGTCCTTGACTTATGACCAAAAATGAGCCCAAAATTTCTAGTGCTAAGCAAGATAGTTAAGTGAGTTTTGCCCCATTTTGCAATTTTTCTTGCTACAGTTGTTAAACGAATCACAGAATAACAGAATAACAGAGTTGGAAGGAACCTTGGACATCTTCTAGTCCAATCCCCTGCTGAAGCCGGAGATCCTATACCATTGCAGACAAATGACTGTCTAGTCTCTTTTTAAAAGCCTCCAGTGATGGAGCACCCACAACTTCTGAAGGCAAGCCATTCCACTGGTTAATTGTTCTCATTGCAGTTGTTAAGTTAGTAACACGATTGTTAAGTGAATCTGGCTTCCCTATTGACTTTGATTGTCAGACGGCCACAAAAGGTGATCACATGACCCCGGGACACTGCAACTGTTATAAATACATGCCAGTTGCCAAGCATCTGAATTTTGATCATGTGACCACAGGGATGCTGCGACAGTCATAAGTGATTTTTTTCAGTGCTGTTGTAACTTTGAATGGTCACTAAATGAATGGTTATAAATAGAGGATTACCTGTATTGGTATAGGATTAGTACAATAGTTGTTTTGTCAGAGCCTTAGTCTGTCATAGAACTTCTGAGCAAAGAAACATGAAGCAACAATGAAATCATTTCCCCTTCACAAACTGCAGTACTACTTTATCTCTCTCTGAAGATTTGGTAATTGCTCAATTAACTCAAAAGATAACAATGCTTGTTTCCTTCACTTAGTTCCCAGCACACATGTCTTATCTGTAGGCTATAAATCTCAGGACAGAAATTTTATGTATTTGGTTCTTAGGCATTAGACGAAGACACGTGATGAACAAGTAATCTCTTTATTGATCTTCTCCTTACAACCAAGCAAGAGCTAAAAGGCACGCAGGCCTTTTATAGAGTCCTGAACCCGGACAATGTCAGCCAATAGGAAGCTGGCTGTTTTCGCGCCTTGCGCATGCGCACAAGGCTGGTGACAGCCAGTCTGGTCCCGGACAGCTTTTGGTTTGCCTGGGACCGTTTGTAACATTTCTAAGCCTGCTCACTACTGCAGCAGGCTTAGGACACAACAAGAAAGAAGACTAATCATCCATTCAAGAACAGTATCTCTCCCCCTTGCTCTTCAGAAATGTAGAGTCAAGGTCAGCTGTAATTTAATGGGCAAGTTATGATATCTTAACTAAAGATTTTATACTTGCTCTTAAGACAGTGAGCAAAATCCAAAAAAGAAAGGAGAGCCAGATAGGAGAGGACATAAAAATTGGGTACATAATTTTATTTTGCAATTTTAAAAAGACAGTCATCTTTTAATTAATAAAAAAATATTAACTTATTCAGTGTCTAGTAAAACCAATAGGTTCTTTCTCAGAGAAATATAGAACTTGAAGAAAACTAAAGTGAAGAAATCTAACTGTGCAACCATATATTACTGTAGTTTTCAAGAGATTTAAAGACAATCTTGGTTACAATGTTAAAAGCTTTCTTTAATGTTATGGTTTTCTATATTATTAGAAGATTACCTGAATGTGCTTCCAGATTTACAGTTCCCTGTTCCACTAGAAAATTTAAACAGAACAGACAATAAAGCAGAAATGAAATGTAATTCTTTATTACAGACATGCTGCTCTACCTCTCACTGAAGATTTAAAGAATGGGGAGTTAGTCACAGAATAGCTAGTGACCCAGGACATTTGGTTTCTTGTGCACTTTCCTTACCCTTATGAATTTCTGGAGAAATCCCACATAGAGAAAAATGACTGGAGAAGAAACCAAATTCTCATGTAGTCAACTATATTGCATTTCCTTGTCTCCTTCTAGACCAAATTCTCAATCCTGATGGTGAGTGGGCAGGAGGGGAGCTTAATAGCTTCAGGGCATTTAATTCTCTATGGAAATCTAGAGTGATGTAGAAATTGATTTATCTATTTTTTAATCCGTGTTGCTAAGGTCTCCCCCTTCAGAGACTTTAAAGTTTATTAGTTAGGGGGAATCTGTTGTGTTTCCAAAGCATGAAACTACCTACCGTCATTGTCTGATCTGTACAAAAATTCTGCATAAGGGAATAGATGGGTTATCTGTCTCACAGATGAAACCTTGAATGTTCACCATAAAAGCTGTCCCCAATCCCTATTAGAAACATCAGTGGAATGGCTGATGCACATGCTTTTTGCACTCTTTCCCCACTATTATTTGGGACAATAATATTAATATAGTCTCATTTTTAGTAACAGGACAGTATGTATAAACAATTTGGAACGAAAGAATAGGGTGGGAAAGAAGAAGAATGGAAACTAGTTATCTCTGTTCCCAAAGCATTATGTAAGCAGACACTACAAAATAAACATAATGAACGCACAACTCTGCAGGGGATTTTCATTTCTGTCCCAACTTGGAAGAGCCAAATACATATGCTGACTCATCCTATTTACAGCAGGTTCTGAAGCTCTTGGCCTCTTTCTTCATAAATACGAGTTATCAAAAATCCTTGGATTTCTTCTGACTGGTTCATTCTTCTTGTGGAAGACCAACTGAGCTGCTGGAGACTCCTTCTGTCACTGCATGTATGTATGGTTGTGTGTTTTGCATGGCTGCTGTATTCCCTTGCTCTATCTTACTTATTTTAGAGAAGCTATGTGTCTTCCTGCTCCGTGATGCCTTCCTATCCTTTGTGATCTATATTATTTTTATTGTATTTGAATACCAGGAGTTCTCTGGGAAATGGACAATCAATTAAAGCTTATTATTATAAAAGGAATAATCATATATAACAACAGTACAAAGATAATATGAAAAAATATAAAATAATGTACAAACCTTTTAGAAACCAATCCCCTAAAGCTGCCTAGAAGCCAATGAAAAACAGGAAAAGCAATAATAAAGGCAGTGAATCATAGTAAGCAGCGTGAGACCTAAGGAAATTGGATCCTTGGTTTGCAGGGATTCTTTGGGATTCCCTGCACTGGTCATTAGTGTCTCACCTAAAGGAACCGTGGACTTGGATTGTTTATAAAGCTATTTTTCTGCATGCAGAAATTGAGATGTAGGAGCTGAGGGAAGGGGCAAAATAGCCTAATGGTATTGGGGGTATCAGCAAATTGCTGAATTGGTTTGATTTTGCTTCTGGGAGGAATACACAGAATCAGTTGGCTGGATACTAAAGCCTATCAATCCAGGTTAAAAGCACCTTTGACCATTCCATCCTGTGTTTGCACTTGTATTATCCAAAGTTACATTCTTATACCTTTTCTATCAGCCCAGGGAATTCCTGTGTTACATCTATATTCCATATAAGTAAGCTTGCAGAGACTGAGGACTAAATTATAAGGGTTTATATTTGTGATTGGTTTCTCTCACTTAAAAAAACAGCAACTGTTGTTTGGAAGGAGAAAGGCAACATAGGAAGGACCAGTTGGGAGCAGTTGCAAAGCAAGGGTAAGAATTCAACATTCTGTTTGTCCCAGAGACTTGAGGTTAAGTTTAGTAGAGCTCTGAGTCTATTTATTTTTTATTTTATTTTATTTTACAAAATTTATATGCCGCCCTTCTCCCCATGGGACTCAGGGTGGCTCACAGCATGTTAAAACAATATACAGAATTACCCCTTCTAAAAACCAATTAAAATCCAAATATTAGTGGCTGTGACTATTTAAAATCATTAAAAATTATCCCTATTTAAAATTCACCCTAGGTCAGGCCCGCTTG